GAAGCTACGAAACTGCATGAACTTATCTATAAAAAATTGCTAATTATGAGATTATTTTCTTCACTTTTGTCAATCTAATACTCTTAATGAAAATTATTTCTTCTTCTGCTTCAGTTTATTCTTAAGTTTCATTCTTACGTTTTTAGCAAGAATTGATTAGTTAATAAAAAATATGAAAGTAAAAATTATCTTTCTTTCCATCTCGCGCTCACAAATCATTATGGGAATATCTATTTACAATTATTAAAGCCTGAAAAAAGCAGGTCTGCGATGTTATCGTCCTGCGATGATTTGTTGATACATTATTTTTTGCCGCGATATTTTCGACGACGATATTTTTAAACTGCGAAGTTTTTGAACCGCTTTATTTTAGACGACGATATTTTGTACCACGATGTTTTAGAACTGCGATGTTTTCTCCCTCGATGTTTTGCAGCACGACGTTTTCGCCTTGCGTTGTTTTTTCTGCGACGTTTACGCCCGCGATGATTTTGCCGCGATGTTATCGGCGGACACCCTTCTGCCCACTTAGAAGTGACCTTCACATTCGGAAACCCACGAATCTAGATCTTAACTTTAAAAGACTGGTGAAATCTCAACGCCACCTTTATCCAAAAGTCATGAAAGTACACGAAAAGCTTAGTGATCTAGGACTAGACCTATGCCAAGTCACACCGTAGGACTGAAAATAAAAAAGCGGAAAGAGCAATGTGTTTGTTAGACTCCGATAAATGACTTCACGCAACATTAACAATTTTCATAATGCTCTAAAACACCGAACCTAATGAGCTGAGACCATGAATTTTATTTTTGAACTTTGGGCTGAAAGGTTTGAGCTCAGTATCAATTTATCTGTAACAATATCTTTACATAACAAAATTCAGACTCCCAATATATTAGCAAAATCAAATCCATATGCTTATCCACTTACATAAAAATGCAAAATTTTCTGTGCAATGATTCCCAAAATATCAATTTTACTATTTTCACGTAATCCAATATTTTAATGAATATGTTACTGTGAAAGACCGAAATTGGAGAATGTCGACATTCACCGGTGAATGTCAACACATACCAAATACGTCGGTGAAAGACCGAATATTTGGTTATATTCTTGTACATTCGGACCATAACAGGTGTATGTCGACAATCATAGATATACTGTGGTGGAGGTCGAAAGGAGAAGTCGAGTTCAACAGAGGGACGACTGTTTGTCGCCAAATCCTTGGCTATGCTGCGATTGAAGTTATGTAGCATGTATTTGTTATACTCTGAAACACCGTTTGTCAGTCTTATGCTAGGTTTGATGGTACGCATAACGTTTTCTTAAATTTTGGTTTTTTATCCAATACCCTAATTTATGTTGAATGGATACTGCAGCGAATCGTGAACTTTACCTTGAAAAGTTAAATGCATTAATTGCGAGTAAACGAGATAACAATTGTTTTTATTTTTCAAACATATCTCTCCTCACCGGGATTGATTACTCCTTATGAAGCTATGTTTGGCATTAAACCAAAAAGAGGCATAGCATCGTATTTTTTACTTGGCGAACAAATCGCAAATATTGAAACCGAAGAACAACCCTTCAGAAATTTGCTAATACTTTTGAAACCGAAGAACAGCTTGAAGAAACTGTTAATACTTTTGAAGAAAATTTGAGGAGTGGCCATACCGAAAACCATATTCCAAAGCAAAATATTGAGGAGGACTAGCAACCTAGCATGACTTCGTATCAAGCCTGGACTGAACAACACGAGTTAATTTCTATAAAAAGATCGGCCGCGAAAGAGAATGTTCTACTGCAAGCAAAAAATATTACGAACCTAAAAAAAAAAAAAACTTAATTGCTGCTCAAATTACTGATACCGTAAGAATACAAGTCCCTGATATCGACCGTGGTCGTACAGACGACCGAAATGTGTTGGCAGTTGTTGTTAGAATAGAAGATTCCGACTTTTTTAAACTAGCAAATACAAATGGCACTTTCAAGCAGCTTTATACACCTAATTAGTTCGTAATTTTTAAAGAAAAGTTGTTTTCCATAGATGAGATTTCTTCTGTCTGAAGAAATGTCTCTGAAAGAAGCTAACTCGAGAAGTGGAGGGCAAGGCTATACATGCTGTCACTGCATAAGGAAGTGTTGCACAACTAAATGCAGTTGTAAAAGCAAGGGACTCTTGTGCATTTCAAAATGTCATTAAAGTTTATGTTGTTGCAATAAAGAAGATTTCAATCACATAATTAAGTTTTTTTTGTATTATTTTCTTTTCTCATTTAGAATGTTTTATTTAACTTGAAAAGTTTATTTACATGTGCTGTTACTTAAGCTTTTGCATATTTTAACATTATACGGTATAAATGCAAAAGTAAAAGAAAAGTTCTTTATCGATTAAATTTAAAACTAAATGTTTAGCGTTTATCCAAGCATGGCTGCTGTCATTATTAAGAGGCCAAGTAATATCGAATAGCCTTTCTCGCATTAGAATCAAAAGCTACATGTCACCAGTGAAAACGCCTCTATAGAGTTACGAAGAAGTCTTCTCACCAGGGACTGGTTACTTCTCTCAGCAAGACAAGCGAAAACGTTAGTCACCTTTGAAGTTTTATGACGCATGAAATACGGAGAATAAAATGCAAATCTCCAAAGTATTCAACATTCACCATTAAGTGCGTGGTGAATTTCGACATTTTCCGCTGTAAGTCAGATATAAGGATATTTGGCAAATATTTTAGGCATGCATCAAGCGACTATGTGAATGTTGACATTTCATAACTGAGTAAGGGATTATCTTGGAATCAATAATTCAAAATTTAATTATATAAAATTTTGGTTTTAAAATTTATAAGCAAAAATCAGCTTACACCTATGGTCATTCACAAATTGGAAATTGCTCTTGTTGTTTTATTTCTACAAACTCTCACGTAACATAGAAAGAAAGTAAAAATTTTAAACTTCTGAAATATTCTTTTTCGAATTTTTAAGTTGGCGTCGAAACCCCTAGCACCAGCGCTGATCTTCAGGATTATAAAATGGAGTTTCTCAATCAGCGTAAGAAAAACAATCATTTAGAAAGTTTATTTAATAGCCTTTCCAATTAAAGTTTCGTAATACGTGTATTTTAATATCATAAGTAAGAGAAATGAAATGCGTTTTAATTCCTTAAGTAATAATTTCTAATTCTCTTTGTAAAATTCTTTTTTTTATCGATTGCAAAATTTCTACTTGTCAATTTCTATACTTGCTTCTGCGTCTGAAATAGAATTTATTTTATTTTTTTTTTATTTAAGTTTTCATTTTATTCAACAATGGCAAAAGTTTGATTTTATGAATTGACAACAATTAACCCTTTCAGTCGCAAATATTTATTTTTTCAATTATTTAATATTATTTTGAAATTTGTTAAATATATCCATTTTGAATTCAGAATAAAAAAGTGAAAAAGAAAGAAATGAGGATATAAAGCAAATACACCCCCCCCAAAAAAAAATCTGAGAGCCTTCGGTTATATATTACGGTCAAATGGACTTTTTTGTAACCTTTATTTATTAAATACCACGTTCTTCGCAATTAAACCGCATGACATTCAATTCAACAGCAATATCACAAAATATTTAAAAACTGTATGTCTTTAGTATTTATGATAGGCAGTTTCGCGCGTTGGAGGTAATTTTTTTTTTCCTACAGTGTTGCCATTGCTCACTTTAAAATCGTTAAATTTCTTAACCAAAAGTTCATTAACGTTTTATAAAATATCAAACGGATAATAAAGCAAATTCGAAATAAATTCAAAATTCGATCTTCCAGGTGCCCATGTTCGAGTGGATGATTACGTTATTTAAAATTTTATAGCTCTAGGTACCATCGTTTTTTCACAGTGCGAGAAACATATATACATTCATGCGGATATTTTCTTTAAATATAATATATGGCTACAGTATCTGGTGGCAACAATTGGAAAAGTGATTCAGCACTTTTAGCGATTCATCGCAAAATGTCGTTTCGAGACTAATAGCCCCGCCATTTTGCCAGATTCATCCCGCCATTTCTGGCCAGTTTCATATTATCTTTCGCAGGATACTGAATCTAAAAGCTACATATACAACTAATTACCAGTTCAGCTTACGGCGGCACAAGCTGGTGCAGTAATTATCTTCATGAGTTTACATTTCAGTAAAATTGCCTCCAGCTCCACACTCACGGAACAAGATTGACGTATTAAAGATACTAAGTAAAAAAAAATTGCTAATTAACAGATTGTACAACAGCGTGATAAAAATTTTTATGCTAATTTTGACGTCCATAATTTACTCTTTCAAAGTTTCGCATCTTTTCACATTGTATTGCGGTGCTACTCTTCAAGTAATCTGGCAGATTGCAGAATTTAAAAAACTGTTCCTAATTTTGCAGCAAAATATTAGCAACACTTCTTTCAGTTACAATCATAAATTGCAAAACATATAGTATCTTGAGCTATTCGGAGACAATACCTATTTTCTGTAGTATTTTGCACGTTAGAAGCGTCTATAATATTTTCTTTCAGTATCCACTGTTTTACGTTGCAAAAGCATAATTTATTCACCTGCTCTAACAAATTGCGAATTCTGAAATATAATACTCCTTTGTTTGGGGTTTAATATTTTAGTAATATGTTTGCGTATGCAAATGTAATAGACTTGAATTTATCGAAGTAACAAACTGAGCAATTTCAAAACAGTGCATGTATTTCTTCATCTTTAACCAGAGGTCTGTTACATAAAAAGAACTAAATTATTTTTCAGGTTCAAATAAAAAAATGAAAAATTCAATATATATATATATATATATACCAAGATGAGTAACCTCCTAAAGTTTCGGTTGATATGGGCCTCTCATTTCATAAAACCTTTAATGTTAACCATTACATAGGATTTTTTTTTTATATTTGTCATACTTATCATTTTTATATCCCGCATATATGTATCAACAATGTTAAAAGTCAGAATATTTTTCATTTCAGATCGATATTACTGGTATCAGCAGGCAAAGAGTCAGCTACTCAAAAATCTGGACGACGACCGAAACTATAATGTGGCCAAGAATTTGATTCTCTTCATCGGTGACGGTATGGGAATGACCACTGTGACTACCGCTCGTATCCTAAGGGGACAAAGGAGAGGGCAGAGTGGAGAAGAGAACGAACTGGCCTTCGACAAATTCGAATACGTAGCGCTTGCAAAGGTAACGTTATTTGATTCGGTGTTTTGCCGGCCGTGAAATAACACAGCATTTATTTGATAGTGGAGATGGGGTTCTTACGCAAGACCGCCTGGAGTATCTGGCGGGAAATCATTTTATTCCCAAAGTTTGCTTTCCTTTATTTCCGCCATTTATTCCCACATAATGTATGAATTCACATAATGTACCTTAATATGAATGAAATATAACATATATCATTTGAATACAGTAAATAGAAATATCGGTATTGAATACAACAAATGAGGTTTTTTTTCCAAGTAGGGAAAAATATGTTTTCTTGCTATGAAACTATAAACTGATCGGAGTTTTTTAAATATGGTAAAAAAAGAGCAAATACTTTTCCAAAGTTATTTGTTTGAGTAACGTAAACAAAATTTTCAATTCTCATTATATTCACGCAAATGTTTGTTGAAATTGCAAATATTACTGATAATAAGCTCTAGCACTAGCTCTAGCTCTAACACAAGTAATCGTGTGTGTGTGTGATTATGGCAAAGCCTCGAGGGCTATCTGCCTAAGGGAAGGGATGCCTTCGTGGAGGATTTTCTAAGGAAAACTGGCTCGTATACATGTTACACATGGGGAAAACCACGAAAACGCCCATGCAGCCAGCCCGTTCGCGGGATTCGAACCTCGGACCGAACCACCAGTGTTCAGCGACTTTACCGCTCGGCCGCTGGTGGGCGCACACAAGTAATCGCTTATTTCAAAATAGAAGATTGATCAGAAATTCTTGTGCTGGACGATTACTCATGGAAAGCTAAGAGAAGGAATCAGAAAAAAACGCATATTAAATTAGTATATTTTGGAAACACAAAATGTAATGAAAAATGAAAATACTTGAAGATAATATTGAAATATGAAACATACTTCCTGTGAAACGATACGCCACAGTTACTTTCAAATGCTTATAAAAAGAATTGTTGTATACTCTTAGAACATTTCTTCCGTTATAGCAACAGTTGTACTGCACATTAGTCACTCGTATATGATCGATTAGACTTCCTCAGTTGAATTAAAATATTCCTATTTACCACGAATCTTTTCAGGACAACAAGCGAATGAATGCATCTATTTTGGGAACTTCACATGGAGTTTTAATTAATTTAGAAAAAACGGATCGTTGTTCTCCTATTGTAGACTATTTAGAGATAGTTTTATGGTGCACTTGATGTGAGTATGGAAAGCGGGTTTCATTTCTGCTGAATATATCTCATCTTCCATCAATACCTGGCTACAGCGCAAGGAAAAGAAATGGGATGCGCAAGTTATGCCATAAAACTGGTTCGACGATATAAAAAAATGTTTTAAAAGTTTCGAATACTACGTTGGACATAGCTAGTCAATTACTTTCACTATGTATATTTTTTGTTTTACTTACTTAGTTAAAGCTTGTCCTGAAAGTGAGTGCATTAACCTTCGTATTCTACCTCGTCTATCGAAAAGTAATTTAGGTGTTTGGCTTAAAGTTACACCTCAATGATAAATCCATCAAAAGATTTCTGCCGCCCAACTGGTTGTAGTGATTAGCGTTGCTGACTACCGAGTCGAAGGGCTCGGATTCGAATCCCGAAGAAGGCATGGATGTTTGTAAATGTATAGTGTCCGTGGGGCATGAGGGCACTCTAAATATGCTGCGAGCCGAAAGTCTTCTCGAGTGGTTGTTGGTAGAAAAAGAGGGGTGGGAAACCCCCGGAACCTGTTTCCCGGGGTGCTCTCCGTCAAAATTGGAGGCGGAATTGAGTTAAACTGCAGTGTCATCTAAAAGGTAATCAAGGATGTTGCTAACGACAGACGTAAACTTACGCTCCTTGCCAAGAGGAATTCTGTGGAATTGGGCTGACTATAGGTCAGACAAGTGAGCATTAGAAACAACTGCAACAACATTTGCTACGTGACTTTCGGCAAAGGATATTTTTAATGAAAAGCGATGTGGATGTCTCTGTAGATGTACGCGTTCGAAGCAAATGGTCAGTGAAAACTACCAAGAGCACGCCCTACTATTCCACAGTTAACGTAAATAAAGTTAGATACACTAAAAACTAAACTCGCACAGTTTAAAAGATAAAATAATACACTGATTAGAGATAATAACAAATTGGCATAAATTACGTTAATGTTTCACAGGTGTGATCCGCAGCTACGTTCAGATAGTCTGCAGTTTTCACGGTCTGTTCTACGACAGCTAAGGATCCCAGACCCTGAGAACATCTCCCAGAGCATACTATCGCTACTCCCATCCTGTGTGTGATTTCCTGTACAGGAGGAGAGCAACTGTTCGCCTGGAAGACGGTGTACCCTGACACAACCATCGACGTGATGCATGAGAATTCTTGATTCATCCCACCAGACAACTATCTTCTACTTATTTATGGTCCAGTCTCAATGTACCCGGGGCCACTCTGACACACTAGGCGTAGCTGACATTGGCGCTTGGTCAACAGAAGCACATGAGTGAAAAATCTGCTGCGCAGTCTCATATAGCCAACAGTGCCCGCTGAACTGTGGGTTCCAAAACAATTGCACCTGGATCTGCATTGTATTGTGCTGTTAGCTGAGCCACTATCTAGAGCCGATTTTGCTGTATCAAGCGGGACACTCTCCGACGTCCTTTTTTCTTTAATGACGCGTGGACATCCAAGCCTTGGCGTCTACTACTAGTTTGATCGTCATGTACCAAATACTAATAAAGACAGATCGTGAATAACATACCAGTCGGAGATACCAGATAAATGCAGTTTCGAAGATACTCGTTCAAGAAACTTCGGGCCCTTACAATCTGCTCTCTATCAAATTCGGTTAGATCAGCAGCTTTTCCCATAACTCGCAAACGTTATAAGGATCTTAAGTTTTACTAAAGTTTATTTTATTTTAAAACTTTACTGTCCTCTTTTATTTTCCACTTCTGGCCAGAATAAACGTGTCAGTTTTACTATGCAAATTGTGCTTACAAACTCTTAAGTGTTTAAGTTGTGGCTTTTAGCCAAGAAGAGTTAGAGAGACAGAGAGTGAGACTCCTCGCCACATTACTTCACACGCGCTTTCAGTCAGTTGTTGTCCGACTTTAAGACCAAAGGTTTAGTCTTCTTGATTTTGAAGACGTATTGTAGTTTTGCCCGCATTATGCGTACTGCTTACGGTAAAGATCTAAAAGGCCAATCTTAGTGTTACTAGCCTTTGTAAAGCATTTAAGCTTAGCTTTTATTTAAATTAAGTTAGTTTGTAGTTTTTATTTTTACGTTCAGATCACAAGTACTGGTCTCTGTATCCCAAAGTGCGGGAGCGGTTGTAAATTGTGAAGAATAAAGGGAAATTAAACCCTTCCTTTCTTTGTCATCTCTTCTACAATTTAAAGGGACATAGTTTTAAGTAAATTCACTGTTCTACTCAGGACACTTACATGTTTGCTGAACAGATAAGAAGGAAATGGTAGTCCTGATAAAGTAAGTGCAAAAATGATTCCTTACCTTCTCCAGCAACAGTTAAACACCATTTCTACTTCACATGCATCACATGCCCTCCACATCATCCAGACGAGTTCAATGCAAAATGTGGGGATGGTCATAATGTGTTAGCTCGTCAATGTATTCAAATCATATAAATATTATACCTGTGCAGACTCTATATTATCAGGGGTATGAAAGTTCATTTTATGCTTTTTTCATGATACAAATCAAAAATCTATATATTGGATTATTACTATATATATCATAACCTTTTTTTTTTTTTTTTTTTTTTTTTTGTAATACGACCTTTAGAAGCGTGTTGATTGTACTGTGCTCATGTCATTTGATATTTGCAAAGCGAACATTTAAAACTTTCATTTGGTTTTTTAGTGAAATATTCTTAATTTAAAGAGAAATGTATAGTTAGAAATAGCTAAAAGGGAGTATAACCGGGAGCACTAATATGTATACATTTATTTAAAAGTATACTAATTTATTCAGTGTTTTTATGTAAATAAAAAATTTTCTCATGCAATGTTATGTAATATGTATTTCTTGCTTATAAATGTTTTATCTGGAACAATACTGCGACATAAATGTACATGCTTTCTTAATCGTGAAGTTCTAGCGTCCTATCTAAGTACTCTTCTAGCATGAAACAAAAGCTCAGAAACATTCATAATATTTGTTTTATGTGAAACAGAGCTGAATTATTTGTTCTCGATAGAACTTTATGTACTGACATTTACGTTTTCGTTTCGTTTCATTTACTGGTTTAGTGGAGAATTTTCGTTAAAACGTAACATTTTGTTGCAAATTTTGACTAAGCAATCACGCTTCAAATCTTATTTTCAGACTTAATTAATCACTCCGTAATATATTCATACATGCAAATGAATGCTATACCTTATTATCATTGAAACGTTTGCTTTGTAATCTACATTGCAGAGTATATTTTAGCTATTTAATGGGAATTCCTAACTTAGAAATGGTGGAAAATTAAGTTCAACGAATTAACAACTATCGGCATTTACTTTAGGAATTTGATTAGAAAAATATTTGCAAATGCTTCGCGAAAACAAAAATAAGAACTAAGGAATTTGCTACAGGATAATTTCAAGAATACTCGAAAACAGGAAAACTCAGAAACTAATACTTAAAGCAGAAGTATTTATTAAATTAATAGTAGGTTCTGTTTCTCTGAATTTATTTTTATTGCACGTTATGATTATTTTACATTATCCGAAGCTTGGAAGCTTTGAATTATATAGAAGGGTACATTGTGCATAGGTTGGTTATTAAAGTTACTGTTGTTTACACGTTTCTGTTAGAATAAAACAGCTTTTGAAGGGAAACATAGTAAAGGTACTTGGACTCGTCTTCAATATTAATAATAATTTAACTTTTAAATGGTTATGTATTTTTTGGATATAGAAAAAAGTTAGTTTCAATGCGGTAAAGTTGCTTAGATTAGATTTTAAATAATGGGCTTCCATTTTTCTGGAAAACTCATACTGAATTTACTTATAGAAACCAAACAAATATTAATGTAATTATTTCAATGTTTTTCCTTCCTTATACGAAGGAAAAGAAATATTATAATGGCGAAAAATTTCGAGCATTATATTTCAACGAAAATATCCATTTTGACCGCTCTTGAATCCATTTGAATGATGTTTTTGCGCGACATCTGAAGTCGCGAAAAACGGAGAGAATAAAGAAACGGAGAAAACGGAGATCTACGGAGAGAATATAGGAATTCGTTTCCAAAGCGGTTTGTAAGAAGGATTTAAAATGTATACAGAAGTGATTTTTTTATATGTATCTCGCTTAACTCAAAAATGAGTAGTCGTAGAACGTTGTCATATTGTACATAGGACTGCTATAACGCGTAGTTGTGCACCTCCCTTTTTCGTTGCAATTGGCAGCCCTAAACGTGTATATATATATATTGCCTCTCTGTTACCCGGCTCGGTGAGCTGAGATTTTTATTCTTTATATATTGGTAAACTGTGTATTTTTTTGCTTTAAAAGGAATTCAGTTTTGCTTTTCTTACTTTCCGTTAAAGGTTTTATGCCTTTATTTAATCTGCATGCAATAGCTGTAGAATTGTCAACTATTTAAAAGTTTAGATGCGTTGTTAAACCTAATGAGGGGATGATTTGTTTACATTTGAAACTCTTAATAGAATAGTGAATTAAGTCAGTTTGCGCTCCAACTTCAGTGTCTTTTTGCCGAATTGGGCCAAGAATAATCTTTTAATTATGTGTATCGAAAAATATGTCTTCCTATCCGCTGTATTGAATTATACGGTATCTTAATACCATCGGATACATTGGAAGATTTCACTCCATTGCTTTGTGTATTTGGAAGGAATATTTTAAGGTCGTGTCATTTTTACTATTATGATTTCGCATCTATTGTTTCTTAGAGTTTTGTTAAGATTCTAGCATTGTTTTCATAAAGATAACCTCTGATTTTAGTTTTAGTTTCACGTGACCAAGAATATGTTCAATGCTGATTTTTTTTCCCTGTTTAGTACTGAGATACCCTATATAACTAAATATTCTTATTATACTTAATTTATTAATTTCCTGTGAACATGGTTACGTATTGTGATGCTTGTAAAATTTATTTCTTACTTTTTAATAACAAAGTAAAATTAGTATTTTTAACTTATGCTCAATTTATTTGTTAATAATAATAATAATAATAATTATAATTATACTTACTTTTTAATAATAATACTTTTTAATACGATTTTAAATAATTTAGCTAAAACCTTTCAACTTAAAAAAGAAAACAGAAGAGAAACACACCACGTGAATTATAAAATTCGAGAAATTTTGAGATCTTGTCTAAACCTACACTAAACCTAACATTGTTGCGTTTTAAATTTTATATAAGTTAGAAAAACGTTTTCTTATATTATGTATTTTATATCTCAATCACATTGAAAAAGCATATTTATTTTTTCCCAAAATATCAACCTACACTGAGCCTTCACGAAGCAATCTACTCATCAAATAAATTTATTGCCGACCATCAAAACGTCTTAAGTTCGTTCCAGTCTAAACTACTTCCACAATTTAAAAAAATTTGATGTGGGCACCACATCACTTCTCTGCATGGTCTATTAAATTATACACATTATTTGCTTCATTTCATTTAACCATATTTCTGCGAATTTCATGAGAGGTATATTTCTCATTCAATTAATTCAGTTCTCATTTCGAGTCAAAAAATACATAATATCTGAAAACATTTTCATTAAAATCTGTAAAACACAGAAAACCATAAAACACCAAATGTAATTAAAAATTTTAAAAAAACAATATTTACAATCCAAATTAGAGTTTCTACACAAAAGGAAACAATTCGGCCAGAGGAGCAGAAGGCAGATTTATCGGTGAGCAAAATTGAAGGTTTCCAAAACCGCAGTAAGGAAGAGTCACAAAGACTGCAAATGTTATTAAGTAGTAAGTAACAAGTAATAAAGTAATTAAAAATCCCAACGAGAAGGAAAATTCCATGCAAATTGTTATAAAAATTCTGTAAAGATACAGAGGATAATAAAGTTCAGTAATTTTCCTTGACAGTGAGTTCTGATTCAGTTATTTTCTTTAACAGTCTCCAAAAGCCTTGAAACTTCTTCTTTAAAAGGACTAATTTTACAGAAGATCAAAATGGTCTAGAGAGTTCATTTTATTAATTTCTGCTTTCCATTTTTAACTATAATGAAAACATAATATTAAATTTAGAAAAATACCTAAAAATATTTAATTGAGTTCCAATAGTTTCTATTAGAAAGCAAATTATACTTTACTTTTTTAATTTTTTAGCATTTTATTTGGTTGAACTTTATTTTATTTAATCATATATTATATACATATGTTTCCCTAATTTTACTCTGTGATTAAAATCATAAAATATAGATTCCAAACATGTAGGAGATGAAGAAAATTAGAATAATTTTTGAAAGAAATTTCTTTAATTTCTTAATTATTTTCTTAATTTTTCTTTTTTTTTAAATCAGTGCTTGTTTTATTAACTGCTGTGTATTATTCATTTGAAACCCTTCATTACGAGTAATAAATAACAGTGCCATACATTAGTCTGGGACGGCTGAAGTACCTTTACTCTTCTCATACACTTTCATATGTTTATGAATTTACACTAATGTTTGTCGAAAATGCAATGCCATGAAGGAAATTTCGGAAATGAATGAAATTTATTCCACATATTACTGATAGTGGTATAAATAAACGATCATATTTATCGATAAAAAGTACGTTACGTACGTCGGAAATAAGTACATTGTGTGTCCACCACGCTGAGTGCTGAGAGCTTGTAAACAGCTACCAAAATCCACAGGTTCTGGATGTAATCCTGAGGAATGGCATTCCATAAGTTCAGTCTTAGTGTGCGCTTCACCTGCTGTACGAGTGAGTCACCGACCTATAGAATGTTAGAGCTGTTCAATGGGCGACATATCCAGGGAATAAAAGCAGGCCATGGAAACAGCGAAACCTGTTGTGCCCTAAAGAAGTCTTATGCAGTCTGAGATGTGCACGAACATTATTATGCTGAAATACATCTCCTGGAATGCGTCGAGGAATGGGGAGGATCTCCACAACTTCCCTTATGAAGTGATCTCTGTTGAGGTTACCCGCAATCTTCACTATATTATATCGCCAAGTATACTTTTTCCACAATACACGCTACGCACTATGTTGTCGTGCACATTGAAGTCGGAGGCGTCTGTGATTCAGCGACAGGGGAATCCTGCTTAAAGGAAATCTTGCACACAGCTCATGCTGCAGTAGACGGAGACGAACCATGGAACAGGACAACAACCACACCTGTAGCCGAGCTCCAACGTTGCGCTAACATCCAAGAGGATGTTGTACGATCCGTCACAGCCATGTAGATGAAGTGCCGTTGTGCTATTGCGTGCATCACTACCATATAGTTCTCCTCTGCCTATTTCTTTTAAACACGCATCGCTGTTGTGGCATTATGCTATGTTTGGGCTGAATTGCTCGATGCGGTCTCGTTCGAACTTTCTCAGTTGTTGGTATGGCACGGTCAGCTTTTGACGAAGCATATTGGCCACTAATTAAACGTTCACTGCAGACAGAGGACGATAAACAGACTTCAACGCAACTTTACAGTACTTTTATATATATGGAACAAGCGACCGGTTCTTATTCCACCCATGCGGAATCGCTTGGTAATTCTAATATGCGCATGTCTTACCACACTTTACATTTCCTGTACGTTTTGTGTGATTTGCTTAACTCCTTCATTGTGTTGCAATTTTCAAAAACATTAATGCAGGTACATAACGAATTTGCACACCTGCGGCCGATCGCTAAAGTCATTGAATACATGAAGTTTGATATTTAATCGAATCTTGGAGAATAGGCTGGATGCATAGCTGTTTTCCCCATGTGTAAGTTGAATAAGACCCAATTTTCCGTAAAATGTCTTCCACTAAAGCATCTCTCCCGAGAGGCCGATAAGTTCCCAAACCCTCGAGTTTCAATTAACTTAGCCTAACATAACGAAATCTGGTTAATTCTATTTTTATCCAACTTCAATAGATTTTAAATTTACTGAAAACGACATTTCGTTATTAATTCTTAAGCTTTCATCAACAAATATGAAAGATTATGAAAATGCTTAAAATTTGCATTGTAATTATAATAACAACGTATCTTGTCAATATTTTACAGACGTATAATACTGACAGCCAAGTGGGCGATTCCGGAGCTTGTGCAACTGCTCTTCTTTGTGGAGTTAAAGGTCGATTCGAAACAGTAGGACTGGATGACAGCGCACGTTATGATGAATGTCAAAGTAGTTTCAAGTCCAGAATTCCATGTTTGGCGGATTGGGCGCAAGCCGAAGGTGAGTCCTCCCTATATAAAAATGTCTTACATAGCTACCATATAATTTGTTTCAGATACTTTCTCTCTCATGAATACTGTTAATCTGAAATTGACATAATTTATCTTATTAAAATAAATTCAGTCTCCATTTAAATGCACAAAAATTATACAGATACTAGCGGGCAAGCCCGCCAGCTGAGCGGGCTGAAGCCCGCTTTTCATTGTTCGTGTTTAAAAGAATTCCCATGTTTAATTTCACTGGTATTTGAAAGTTGGACCGAACTAACAGTGTTCAGCGATTTTACCGGGCTCCGCCCGCTGTATTTACGTATGTATCCACAATTTCTGTATATTACGCCGGGATTTGAAAGTTGGACCGAACTACCAGTATTCAGCGGTTTTACGCAAGCTGCGCCCGCTTTATTCACGTATGCATCCAGAAGATACTGCATACACGTTACACATGCGGAAAACCACGAAAGCACCCATGAAGCCAGCCCATTCGCCGGGATTCGAAAGTTGGGCGAACTACCAGTGTACATCGATTTTACTTTCGCTGCGCCAACTGGCTTAAATTTTGCCAGTATTCGAAAGTTGGACTGAACTACCAGTGTTCAGCGATTTTACCCCGGCTGCGGCCGCTTTATTCACGTATGCATCCACAAGATACTCATCTAGAATTAGTTAAAAAGATATTATATATTTTAGGTATTTATATAAATGTTTTAAAAAACATACAACTTTTAACAGTGAAGAGAAGTTAATACTTGTATATATTATATATAAGTAGAGATATAATTTATAATAACAATATAATATTGTTGCGTGCGTACGGGTTCGTTATGAAATGAATGCACAAGTCCGATGAAAAATGAATAAAAATTTATTATTATTACAACAAAAATGCTTAAATTTTCTCAAATTATCATGCAGTATTACAATATCTCACAGTAGTTATCTTTTAAGTACTCAAATATCCAATAGAACGTAATTCAAAACAGCTAAAGAACGCTAATCCACGAATTCGCTACAATCAACAAGAGCAGTTTTCTAAACAACAACAAACTAAGCAACTACTACGAACTGAGATGTTTTTCTCCTTTTATAAGATTTTAAATTCACGCGCTAGAATTTTCCAGTACTTTCTCGAAATCAAAAAGAGATATATATTTATTTAATGCACGCGCTCTTGTATTTTTAATTTTCCAGCTTAGCTTTCTTCTTTAATATTCGTCACGCGCTGCACTGCGCGCGAGAAATAAAACCATTTAATTTATAATTGAACTAACATTAGCTTTTTTTAAATACCAAATTCGTAACACTGCCCCCTTCCCAAGGACTGCACGTCCCGGGCAGTACAATCCCTGGACAGGAATCTAAACTTACAACTGTGGCGTAAATGCATTAATAAGTATTACATTACAATAATAAACAACATGAACAATAAATGCAATAAATAAAACAAATCAAATGCTATCAAATACAAATCAGATACTAAATGCAAAAATACTAAATGCAATCAGATACTAAATGCAATCAGATACAAAATACTAAATACAAATCAAATCAAATACACATTTAAAAACAAAAAAGGACCATGGTCTTACACTATTTACAATTATTTACATTATGTACTATCGCCATAGTAATGAGCTAACCTGTCGTAATGAACGACTTTAGGTTTAGAGTTCGAAGACTTACGAATCCGAACCATGACGTCATTTAGTCTGTTCAGCACTGTATACGGATCATCCGAAGGTGACTGTAATTTAGGACTCAGTCCTTTTCGTTGAATCGGGTTCCACAATCACACCTTGTTTCCTTTGTTGAATCTATGTCTAGTAGCTCGCGTGTCGTATCTGGTCTTCACTTTCTCCGTCGCCAAGTTGACTCGCTTTCGTGCAGAACGGTGCATCATTTCAAACCGGATGCATCATTTCAAATCGCCGGGAACACATCCAAGATGTCCATCTTGGATGTGTTCCTCAGGCGATGAAGGCGCATCCGTATAGGGCGATCAAACAGGCGGTCACAAGGCAGACGAAGGTCTCGACCGAAGAGCATCTTGATGGTGGAGAATAGCCGGTAGTCTGGTGTTTCTCTCCGACCCTAGTAGGATTTTGGCAGTTTTCTGAATAGGGTCTTTCACATGAGACGTCGGCGTTTCCAGGCGATGATTCCTTTTGAAGATGGATCCGTCATGTCTTCAGATGCTGAGAACAGCTTATTGTTTTTGAAGTGTAAGGAAAAATTATATTTCCTCAGAAAGTCTAATCCGAGTATGCATGGATCTGTGATATCCGCCACATAAGCCGTGTGATGGTAGGCGGCACTTCCAAACGTGATGTTTACGTTTAACTTCCCAGTTATGTCGATCTTATCACCAGACGCAGTCTGAAGGGTAACACAGGATGGCGTCCAAATAAGTTTATCTTTAAACTGTTCAGCTAAATCTTTCCTAATGATGGTAACATTAGCTCCTGTGTCAATGATCATATCGCAAGGAACTCCATCGATATTCCCATTAATGGACATTCCGTTACTGTTGCCACTCACTGTATAAATTTTAAGCGCTTTAAAACAAGGTTTTTCATTATCTGGCAACCTCTGTTCCTCGATATGGTCACTAATTTGTTTACTGCGTCGTTGCTGGGAAATGGTCTTATTTTCCGTACCTCGGGGATGTTCTGCAGTTTCTTCGTATGTGGCCTTCAACTCCGCAGTTCCAGCACTTTAGAATTAGTTTCTTTTCACTTCTGTTCCGTCTCAAGCCACTGACTTGTCTGGTAAAATCATCTGCTTTATATTCCGTACCCTGGGGTGTTCTGCAATTCCGTCTTAGGTGACCTTCACTACCACATCTCCAACACCTTAGAGCCACTTTGTTCTCGCTCCTACTCCGTATCAAAGCGTCGACTTGTCTGGCTAAATCATCTAAACGAGCCATCAGTTGATCCACTGGCTCATGGACTCGCACAGCTCTAACTGGGTAGCGATCTCTACTTGTGGCTTGCTGGGCTGCCTCGAATTTCATGGCGTACAACAGAGCGCTTTTTATGTCCTTTACATCGCCATTCGAAGAGCTTTCTGTATTTCAGGATCCCGGATGCCGTCGATGAAAGTATTGCAGGACAGGATTTCCTCTTGTTTCTGTCGGGCACTCCGAAAAGGCGAGATGGGACAGCCTTTCAACATCCGTGGCGAGCTCCTGAAGTGATTCGGTGGGCTTCTGTTGACGAGATTTTAATTGGAGCCTGCTGTAGTCTTTTAAAACACTTCTCCCCAAAGCGCAGCTCCAAGGCGCCGGACAGAGCTTCGAAATCTAACCTTTTGTTTTCGGGAAGAGTCTGAAGGATATCCGCTGCGTCGGCTCTCTTAGAAGAAGCGGCCGAGATGACAGGCCTTAGCTTGGGAATCCCATCCATTCGCATCCGCCACGATAGAAAATTGTGTCTTATACACCTGCCAGGAGGTCTTCCCATCATATGTGGATAGCTTCAGAGGTGGACGAGCAGGCATCGGTAAGAATTTAAAATCATCACTATTGTTCCCTGCCGTCGCTACGAATTTCTTTAAAATATCCACTTCTTTGGCTATTGCAGAAACCCTATCATCAATTTGTTGTTCGATTTGGTGTTGGACGGCACAAACTCTTCCTTCAATTCGTTCCTCCACAGCAGAAACTCTCCCTTCTATATGTTCTTTTACAGCAGAAACTTTTTCTTCTATTTCTTCTTTCACCGAAGAAACTCTTTCTTCAATTTGATCTTTTACGGAAGAAACTTTTTCTTCAATATGTCCAACTTTATTTTCAACTGTGTCAATTCTGCCTTCTATAGCTTCAAATTTATTTTCTATTATGCAGGTAATTTCTCTTTTCAATTCTTCTTGACCAGCTTGAACGGCTTTCATTTCGTCCTTAACGGATTCCTGGCCCAATTTCATTTCTTCCTTAACGGAGTTGACGGCCCCTTCCATCTTTTCTTGGAAAGCAGCAAATGCAGTCATCATTTGCCTGAATTGTTCTTCCATCGCTCTTGTTAATTGGCATTCAAAACCCACTTCTGACACCAAAAATTGTTGCGTGCGTACGGGTTCGTTATGAAATGAATGCACAAGTCCGATGAAAAATGAACAAAAATTTATTATTATCACAACAAAAATGCTTAAATTTTCTCAAATTATCATGCAGTATTACAATATCTCACAGTAGTTATCTTTTAACTACTCAAATGTCCAATAGAACGTAATTCAAAACAGCTAAAGAACGCTAATCCACGAATTCGCTACAATCAACAAGAGCAGTTTTCTAAACAACAACAAACTAAGCAACTACTACGAACTGAGATGTTTTTCTCCTTTTATAAGATTTTAAAGTCACGCGCTTGAATTTTCCAGTACTTTCTCGAAATCAAAAAGAGATATTTATTTATTTAATGCACGCGCTCTTGTATTTTTAATTTTCCAGCTTAGCTTTCTTCTTTTTAATATTCGTCACGCGCTGCACTGCGCGGGAAATAAAACCAATTAATTTATAATTGAACTAACATTAGCTTTTTAAATACCAAATTCGTAACAATATATTAAGAATAATTAATTATTATGGACACATTTTTCTTGCCTTTGATGAAGCAAATTTAACAATTACTTCATCAAAGGCGATCGTTTCAAATTTTTCTCTTTCCACATTTAAAAATGCTAGGTCACTTAGACGATCTTGACCTGTTGCTGAACGTAGATATGTCAAAATTAATTTTGATTTGCTGAAAGAATGTTCACATATAGAAATAGTAAGGAATATTTAAGATGCGACTCTCAGATTTAGAGAAAACATATTCTCCTTAAGAGATTATTAAAGGTAAGAGGCTGTAATGGAGTTTTAGATTCAATTTCTTTTCTATTACGGAGTAACATCTCGGAGTCGTATATTTTAGCATACAAAAGTTCTGCTTCATTAAAATATGGAGTGAATGATAAAATTCACACAATTTTTTACAGTTGTTTTCAAGACCGTTATCA